AGAAGTGTAGGATGACAAACTTTCCTGAGAATCAAAGGAGGCTTCCTGAGGCAGTGACATGAAAGCTCAAACTTGCAGAGCAGAGGGTGAAAAGGCAAAGGTGGGAGAGATGAGGAGGAGGAGAACTAGAGAGTGTACTGCAGACACAACGGACATAAACAGATATCTACCTTGTGTCCTAAGAATAATAAGGTAGGAAGCCAGTGGGACTGGGGTAGGCTAAGGGGCTTGACCTGACAGAAAAAGGTTTTGGATTTTATCCTAAGGTCAGTGGACACCAACTGAAGAGTTTAGAACAGGGAACAATGTAATCAGACTTCCTTCATTTTTTTTTACATAAATCAAAATAATCTTGTAAACACAAGCAGCAGAAGCTCATAAATATCACACAGGTGTTTAAAAAGAGTACAGCCTGTAATCACCACAGATATAACAGAGTGTTGGTGGAGGGCCAAGGGATACCTGGAGTCTGGGAGGCATACGGAGTTCACCTTTTTGTTTGTTTTTGAGAACTAGATGTTCATCTGATTTGACGCCAAGGGAGCATTTGGGTAAGCCAGGATGAAATCCCCATTAAAAACTCTTCCCCTTTCTTCCAAAGCTTCAAAAGAAAATTTCTCCTCAGGTTCCCACCAAGACTAACCTCATTCGTGGGTGGTGTTGGGGACCACCGACAGGGTGGTCCTACAGGGTGATTTAAGAAGTGCTAAAAGACCACTGTTCAGTATAAACTCTGTGTCCTCCAGCATTGCTTCTAAGCCTTCACACCTCTGTTCTCCTGAATTTTCACTTGCCAAATATGTTCATGCAGAGTAACCCACTGCACCTATCCTGCCTTCCTGGGGACAGAGCTGGGATTTTTGTGTTCTCTCAGAGATGAGGGGATTTGAAATGTTTTGAGGCCACTGGGGCTCATACAGGGGCTTGGAGGGGCCTTGAAGTTCAATAAGTTGCACAGAGTGTATGATAGAAGCATTTTTGTGTGTGAAAAAAAACTATGTGGTATACTTATGGCATGAACTTGACTTTATAATAGGGGAAACAATAGTGATAAGGCGCACAGGCCCTAGTTTTGGACCAGCCTGGGTCCAGACCACAAGTTTTACAACCCTAGGATAGTCACAGCACCTGCCTGGCAGTAGGGAGCTCTGCGGGAGATCATCCACTTCAAGTCTTAGCATGGGTCCTGGGCTAACATCAGGTGCTCCACAAATGTTACTGTTAAAACAGTGTGTGTGTGTGTGTGTGTGTGTCCATACTGCAGCACATGTGTGCATGTACATGTAGCTGCAGATGCAAGCGTGTGAGGGAGCTAGTGTGATGCCCAGGTCCCAGGGGGAGCTGTGGCACTGGAGCAACCTTCATGGAGGGTAAAGGGACTGCAGGGCAGTTCATGGAAGAGAAGGCTCAGCTATTTAAGTGGGAAGCAGAGGGAGGAGAAAGGGTCTTGACCTATAAGGAATCTAAACCAGAAGTAATTGAAGACGACAGGTAAGAGAATGTGTTATAACACTGAAGCTCAAAAACCCTTCCATCAAAAAGAAATGAGGATTAAGAGTTGAAAATGGTCTCTGAAATTGACATATAACCATATTAAGCCTGTGTTCAAAGACAGATGACTTAGGTCCACCATAAAGTTCTCCTGTTTTGAGGAATCATGTTCGCTTTTTCAGAATTTATGTAGAAAACCATAAGTACCATAATCTGTTCTCAGATCTCTTGAGAACTCCTAAGATTTCTCCCATCATGCTGCATCCAATGCTTTCAGCATAATAAAGAGTTAAAAGGTAAGGGGTAAAAAATAAAACGCCTAGTTTCTAGTCCCAGCTCTGCCCCTAACTTACTGGGCAACTTAATGGTGCACAGCTGCCTCATCTGAAAAAGAAGTTGATTGGTCTATTTTGGTCATTATCTCTTGAGTTCCTGTCATCCCAGATGAGTTCAGCTCCCTTCTACCGCTACTGCTCCCCATAAAGCTGTTTCAGCAAAAAGTATAGTAGTTAAGATCACAAACAGCCTACTCCTTGCTAGCCAGGGCTCCTGGCATGAGTTATCTGACCTCTTTGCATCTCAGTTTCCTCCTTTGTAAAATGAAGATAGAGAACAGATATAGTGTGTCATTGGGTTGTGGAAAGGATTATATGACTTAACCTGGCAAATTCTTTTTTTTCCCTGATATTATGTAAATAATTTTTATTTTTATAATTCATCTGCTATAGCATCCTTGAAGTGACAGCACTGTAAGAATCTCAAATATCAGCATAATAAGAAACTGAAATTAAAAAGAAAAATATGTTAAAAGATGCTCATGGAAGTGAAATCATCTATCTTGGAAATAATGGAGACTGAGTTTAGAAACCTCTATGTGCTGAGTTATCAGGGGCCAAGAGCATTTTTTTTTTAAAGATTTATTTATTTGTTCATAGAGAACTGAGGTACAGGCCAGAGATGTGGAGGGTGAGAGGATTCACCAGGAACAGAGTGGGGAGCAGAACAGGCTGACTGACAAAGTACACTGCTGAGGGGAACAGCAGGAGGCTCAGGAGAGGTCTGCTGCACCATGTGGTCACCTCCGGGGCAGGCGGGAATCGAACTAATGCGGAAGTGGCTTAAGCTTCTTAGTGCAGTGCTTTAACCCGCTGCGCTACCAGGGAGGGCCTCAAGAGCATATTTTACAATGTAGATTCCCTCAGTCTAGCTGACCCCTTTCAGCACATTCTGGCCCCTTTCAGCACATTCATGTGCTCGGGCAGTGCCTTAACTGGGAGATACTTCTGGGAGAATCTACCTATTGTGTGTCTTTCTTCTTTGCCACAGAAGAACATTTTAGAATGAACTAGTAGATTCTTATTTTTATTATTTATTTATATGTATTTTACATCATTGTTATTTTTTTACATTTGCTTTCCTTCCCACGTGTAATCCCTATCAAATTTCCACCACCAACTCACTCATGCATCATCACCATAGTCCCTTGCCTCTTCCCACCTTCGTTTTGACCCCTCCTTCCTCCCCTCCCCTACAGAATGTCTCCGATTTAGAGTTGTCTGTTTGTTTTTGTTTTATTTTGTTGTTAAACTGGTAAATTCTTTAGAAAGGTGCTTGGCACAGATAAGGGCTACTTCAGTGTTAAATAATAACAATATTCATAGTGGTGTTGACTTCATTGGATACCTTTGTAACTTTACATAAAATGGATTATTTATAAATCAAGAAACGGAAGTATAAACATTATTTGGTGCTTTGAAAAGATTACAATTGGCAGGTGTCAGGGGAATACATTTTTTCAAAAAAGTCTGTGCTTAGATTTTTTTTAAGGATGTATAAGCACTACATGACACTTTTTTTTTTAATTTAAAGAGATTGAGCAAAAAGCTCCTTAAAATTCCTTTCAAATCTCGAAATTGGAGAATTGACTATGACTTTTAAGGAATAGTACTGTTCAGGCAGACAGCCTATCTTTGTCATCAGTGCTACCAAGAATTTGTTTGGCCTTTTCAGGAAGTCCTTAAAAAAGTGTAAAATAAACACAATCACCTTGGCATGTTAATAACTAAGGTGACTTCAGTTTCTTGGAGAGAAGAAAAATTGTGAAAGGTGATAGTATAACCTTTGTAAATATTTGCCCTTTGGAGCTGGCTTATATTTTGTACCTTAGAATATTTTCTCAGAAATTGATTCAGTTACATAAAAGCAGGATCGGAAGCAAAGAATTAACTGAATGACAAGCACTGTTGGCCACCCAGTGGTGAAAGCGTTAAGAGGGCTGGGCAAGGCGATCTCTGGAAATGAGTAAGACTCAGAGTTGTTAAAGTTTTCAAAGCAGCCGCAGAAGCCGCAGCAGGGCAGCAGCGGAGGCAGCAGCAGCAGCTCCCGGGGGAGAGGAAGCCAGTTGGAGGGAGCCCAAGGAGCAGGCGAGCTTGCTGAGCTGAACTCAGCTGAGGTTTCAAACTCAAGGTTAGTGGCCTCCCACACACCTCCCCAGCGCTGACATCTTTGGAGAGGAGTCTCAGGAAGTCGAGGCACCATATCTCTTCCCGGGTGTCCTGTGTGCTTGGCTTACTAGTGAGGCCATGAGACAGCCAGCCACACCTTCCGGCTGCTGCCAGCACCCAAGGCTTGGCATTTGTAAGGGACAACTGCTGTCCTCCCAGGAGAGTCTTCTGAATGAGAGACCTCGTCTCCGTCTTCCAAAAGGAAAGTGGTTCTGAAACAAGGGCAGTTTCAGACCACGCACTGCACACACACACACACACACACACACAGCCCTGCATAAGCTGCTCCATTTTGGTTTTTGAAGGTTGTGCCCACAATCTAGAATTCCTATCTGCTTCAGTTGAAACTGAGAACACTCGTTAAAGCAACTGAGCTGGCTGCCTGACTGCATCTTATAGGAGGGATTGTGTCTCTGTGGATAAGATATCAGGATGAGAAGAGAAAGGAAAAAATTTTAAGCATCCTGGCCTATCCTTGAGGCAAAACAATTGTTACAAATGGGTTCCTGGTTGGAATTCTTCTGATACAATGCTAGAATAAAACAATGGGGGAAGATGTAATGTGAAGGGAATAATTCTGTCTTCATTAGATTCAGATAAACCTATCTATGTAATCTTGTCTATGTGTGATGCAGATAATAGATGAACCGAAACCTAGGGAAAGAGGAGTAGGTGGAAATTACCGTCTTGAGGGAGGGGGGTATTGATTTGGTCCCTGAGACTGGCTGTCCTGGAGAGCGGAGCAGGCCCGCACCTTCAGCAGGCCCCCCAGCACTCACCGGAGAGTCAGTGAGTAAATAGTCATTCCCTGCTGAATGCTTCCCAGATTCTCAGCAGACACGAGTCTTCTACCTGCTAGCACTGAATCAGGATGAGTCATCTGAAACTTGAGTGCTGGAACAAAGTACTTGCAAACTGCCTTATGAGGCACTGCCTCCATGTAGGTGGGACACACCTCTCAGAGCAGTGACATTTTCTTCCTCTCTTCCTATTTCCTCCAAACAGGCAAGACTTCTGATGCTCTCAAGAGACAGACTCTGCCCTTTTGATTCAGCTGGCCATACCATGTAGACTGCCCTTGCGGGTCAGGCCTCAAGTTTTAAAATAAAATGGATGATCTGACGTTACTTGATCTTCTGGAGTGCCCCGTGTGCTTTGAAAAGTTAGATGTCACAGCCAAAGTCCTCCCTTGCCAGCACACCTTCTGCAAGCCATGTCTACAGAGGATTTTCAAGGCCCACAAGGAGCTGCGGTGTCCTGAATGCCGGACCCTGGTGTTTTGCAGCGTCGAGGCACTGCCGGCCAACCTGCTGCTCGTGCGTCTTCTGGATGGTGTGCGCTCTGGGCAGAGCCCAGGAAGAGGGGGCTCCTTCCGCAGGCCTGGCGTGCTGACCTTGCAGGACGGCAGGAAAAGCAGGACTAACTCCAGAGGTCTGCCATCCAGCCCTTTCCGGCTGGTGCCTAATATCAGAATCCACATGGATGGGGTAAGCAAGATCTTACTTGTTTATACTATGCTGCTTGGAGCTTGGGTTTGTATTTATAGCAGGTAGGGGTGATCTCCTTTTACATTTCAGAGTGCTGGTGCTGATTCCCCAGAGATAAGTTTTCTGAGGACAGTGATTGTGTCACTGAAACCCAGTGACGTGCTGAGCCTATCTAGTCCCTTAGAAATCCTTCTTAGAGAGGTCCCTAGGAATTTGCCTCAAAACTGTGAAGGCTTCCTAAATTCTCCCGGTTTCTTGTCCAGAAGGCAGCGGACAAGGAAAATATTCTCGGGTATATTTTTGGTCTTTCACTCCTGTTGTTCTAAGGTCGAGCCAGTACATGGGCCATGCACACAGGCTGGGAAAGAGGACAAACTCAGCTGCTGGTGGTTTTGAGATCTCTGAGAAATTTCCAAATATCAGATTTTATCAGAAATTAACCCAAATCCATCTTTCCACTGCCAGTCAGAAAGTGCTATTATGACAAAGCTCATTCATAACCCATTGAAAGCTATCAAGAGACTCGCCCCCTGCAGTGGCGCAGGAGGGGTGTGTATATGTGGGTGGACTGAGTGACAGGGAAGGCTGGGCTGTGAAGCGCGACGGATGTCGCAGGAGCTGGGCAGATGTGGCTTCCTTCACCAAATGAATAAAATGCACCCAAAAAATGCACATCAGTGGCTTCAATTACAAAATAATAAAATAAACCAGGCCTAGCAGAGCCACACAGGAGGTCACCATGTGAAGTTTGTGGTATTTGGATAATGAAAAGTGGTCAGTGCAGGCGCATGGCCAATCCTGGGGCCTGCTGTGAGCCTCCCTGTGGATAACTGGGTAAGGACATGTCTACAGAAAGAGGTGTGATTCTCATGAGTCCAGCAAGGTCAGTTGCCCCACTTCTGCAGTCACTGTACCTAAGTGACCACAGAAGGCTGTGGCCGGAGCTGGTGGCACTTACAGAGTCAGAGTTACAAGTGTGACCTATGCAAACATAGCGGAAACCCAGAGGAAAAGTGCATGGGAAGGTCTCCCCTTCTCCACACAGAATCATGGGTTGTGACAGGCATTCAGACCACTTGTCTGCTCACTCCTCCTGAAGCTCACTGCCCTCAGGTGCCCAGTTAATAGGGAGTGTGCAAACATTCAAAAATGAGAGCAGGAAGACACAGTACGGGATATGATTTCTTTACTTCTCTATTTGTTGCTGTTTTGTTTGTGTGTGTGAATATGTCCTGGAAAAGGCCTGGGCACCCATATTTAAGGCTCTCCGTTTGCCTGGTCTAGTCATCATTCAGAAACCACAGGCCTGGGAAAGGTTGGTTAGGGGCACAAAGCTTTCCCAAACATGCCTTGTTTGTGGAGCACTGGGATCTATCTCCTGTCAGCAGATCCTTCTTTGAATACCTAAGACCCAGCAACCTCTCCCTCCCCCACCTCGTAAAATCTGACTCAACTCGCTTGCTCGCTGTCTCCTATCATCACTCACTAAGAAAGTGTTGTCACACTGGGAGGAGGTCCCTGTTGTCTTTGAATATCTTTGCTTGGGTGTTCATCTTTCTTCAGTGTGGCTATGTCGCTAAGAAAATCAGCAGCAGATAGATCATAGTCACCAAGGTACTAAACCGTGGAGGACCCGAGATACCTCCTGTCACAGGGAGTTGTGGGAATGAGATAGCCTGTAAGGTAGTATGTGTCCCTGCAATTCTTTCCCAAGCATCACTTGTAACTTCAGACAGGGGTGCCCATGATGGGGTTGTACCCATGCCACTCTGAGCCAAGGACTGTGGTGAAGCTGAAATGCACAACTGTATCACCCAGAGCTCCTGCTTTCTGACTTGGCTAGTGCGGAGCCACCATTGCCAGCCCAGGGCCCCTGCTTCCTTCATTCCAGAGGCTTCTTTATGCACGTGGCCCATCTCATCCCTTTTGCTTCTTTCAGTGGGTGTGTATGAACAAACCTATCCCTGGATATAGATACTGCTGTCATCCTGCAGATTGTCCTAAACCCCCCAAATATAGCTATCTTTCCTGCAGATATGACAGCTCTCAGACAGCCCTCAGTCAAAGAACTGAGGATTTCGTCTGGGGCATCACTCTGTTCTAAGAATCATCCTCAGGAAAATACTTAACAAGTTACTTGCCCTCTTTGCCTCAGTTTACCAAGGCTCATCAACAGCTAATAATACTTTCTAACCACCTTGTTCCAGGATAATGTGAAAATTGTATTTGCAACAAATTCATATTGCTCTGAAAATACACGCTGTAAATGCAAAGCATCATCATTATCATTAATTTAAACTTGCTGTTTGACTTTGGGCAAGTGACTAAAGTTTGCTGGGTCTCAATTTAAACTTCTGTAAAATGGGAAAATATATTAAAAAATAGAGAGTCATTGTGAGGCTTAACTAATGAGTATTTGCAGAGCATTTTGAGACCCTTAGATGAAAGGCATTTGGAAGATCATTATCATAGTAAATATTATTGTTGGCTGTTTACTGTGCCCTGGCGCAAGGCATTCTATAAAACACAGAAGGAGTGATAGCCCTTGCAGGAGAGTGTGATAGGTATTATTATGGAACTGGGTTCTATGATGGGTCCCGGCTAGGTTAATACTAAGTATAAGTACTTCCCGAAGCGGTCATAAATAATCAGTTGTCACAGGGTACCATTTTGAAAAGTACCTCTTCTGCAGGCTTAGATATTAAGCTGGCACTCCAAAAGGGTTCATTTAACTGACTGTCCATGAGCTTTTTAAGTCCAAAGTGTGTTCAACTAAGCTAGGCTCATCTGAAAAACAAGCTCATCTAGATCTTTTTGTTGGCTCAGAGGCCTGGTGCTTCCCGTGCCAGCTGGTATGCTAGGGTGGAACCAATAGTCACACTTCATGGTGCCAGTCCAACAAAGAAAAAATAGTCCATTGTGCCTACATGTCTAAAACTCTCCCAAGTAGACTGTGTGAAAAGAAAACTTGAGAAATGGCCGGAGGTTTCTGCAGCATACAGTTATTTCCACCAACAGTCCTGCAGGTCCCTGGCGGGGCAAGGCCAATGATCTTCACTCCTTCCCATTCTGCTCTAGCCAGAGGAGTTGCAAGCCCTGGGGAGGGTATGGGCTTCTGAGCAGCTGATGTCTCTTGCTTCTCAATTTGTTACACCTTAAGAAAATCTCTGAATTCAGCTAGGCATTAAAGCAGCAATGGCAAGAATTTGCAAACTTAGGTTTGAAAAATATCAGAATCCAAAATTTTATTCTACCCCTCGAAAGTTGTGAACTTTGGGTGAGTCACTTAAACCCCAGGGCCTCTAATTCCCCATCCGAAAATTGGAGATAATAGTGGCACTAACCTCAGAGGGTTGTTGTGAAAAATAAATGAGATGATTCATGTCAATTAGTTCTTAACACAGTGACTGGCTCATATTAAGTGCTCAATAAATGTGAGCTATGATTGTTATTGAAGTGACTCAACACTTTCGGCTCCAAATTACACACCCAATTTCCACTCCCCCCTTCTTCACCATGTGTTACCCAGAGAGCATCCTTGATATCCTGATTTCTGTCTTGTTTTCTTTTTCTCCAAATCATCTGCTGCCATGATTTAAAATGTGTGATTCTTTCCATTGTGTGCTGGCTTGGCAACTCACTGCCAAACCCATTTAGGTTGATTCAAGGAGAAAACTAGCTAACTAACTTCCCCTCCCCAGATAGGAAGCTTAAGAAAACCATATGCAGGGGCAGAGCCTGGTCCACTTGACCAGTCTCACCCACTCTTCATCTACATTTATCCTTCCTTTCTCTGGCCTCACTTGATTCCAGCACAGCATTGCTGCCCTGGACTTGCAGGGCTGGACTTTCTCCCTTCATTGTTAAGCGTCATACCAACCACACACATTCCTACCTCACTCGCCCATTCTAGGTAAGATCATACCTGCCACTTTCAGTACATAGACCAGGCTGGCTGTGTCCTAGAAACTTTTTCAACTGATGTTGCAGCATCCAAGGGAGGAAATGAGGTCAGAAGGCACATGAGGGAAGGAGCCTGGGGAGAAACCAGAAGGCATCCAGCCGCTTCCCTGGATCTCAGCTGCCTGTCCTCGGCAGAGCTATGTATCACGCAGATGGTGGTGATTGCTAAATGTGCAGAGAGACTAAAACCATCCTGAGGTCCCAAAAACAGTAGGCAGGTGCCACGTAGGTCAGCAAGGACCACATGTGGCAAGTGGAGAAAGCCATAAGAAGGAGCTGAAGTTGAGGGGTCAGGAGAAGCAGATGGTTCTCCAGCTTCAAACACAATTGTAAACCAATTTTTAAAGGTCATATGAGTGCAAAAAAGCAGCCTATTGAATGGGAGAAGATAGTTGCAAATCATACATCCAACAAGGACTTAATATACAAACTATACAAAGGACTTACCCAACTCAACAACAAAGCCAACTCAAAAATGAAGACCTGAATGTACATTTCCCAAAGACATATAAATAGCCAGCAGGCAAATGAAAAAATGTTCCTTGTCACTTTTTATATGGGAACTACAGCTCAAAACCACAACATACTATCTCATACCTGTTAGGATGGCTATTATCAAAAAGAGAAAAAATAAAAAGTATAGGAGAGGATGTAGAGAAAAGGGCACTGTTGGTGATGATGTATTGGTACAGTCACTATGGAAAACAGCATGGGGATCTGAAAAATTAGGAATACAACTATCAAATATTCCAGCTATTCTACTCCAAGGTATTTATCAAAAAACATAAAAGATGCTAATGTGAAAAATATATGTCCATTCCCATTGTCTTTGCATCAATACTTAATGTATTGAGTCAACCTTAATACTCAGCAATATATGAATAGATAAAAAGATGTAATACATATACACCACATATGCACCTGCTCACACATGCACACAGGGATATTACTCAGCTGCTAAAAAGAACAAAAAAAAAGTGAGCTCTTCCCATCTGAGACCATATGGATAGACCAACAGGGTATCCTCTTAAGTGCTT